CGCCGCCGCCGCGTCCGGAGCAGCGCCCAGGCCGGCCCGCGGCCAGCGCGCAGGGCGCCGGCAGCACCCGGCCAGCCGCGCCGCGCCCTCCCCGCCCCCAACTCGCTCCCCAACGGAAAGTTCGGCTCCGGCTGCGTGTGGCACAGAGACCGGGAATGAGAAGGGGTCGGGGGGCGTGCTGAGGGGACCGGGCGGCGGCGGCGAGGCGGGGGCAACTTCTCCCGGGAAAGCGCCTCCTGCCGACCCCGCGAGCCGCAGCCCCCGAGTGGGCTCGAGGTGGTTTTTCCCTTGCCTTTGCCTCCCCCTGCGGATTCAAGACACGGACCTTGGTCCTGGTGCTCCCGCTGCCGGGTGGCAGGAGCCAGCGCTGCCGCCGCCACCGCCACCGCCGACTCGGCCGCCGCTCCCTCCGCCCGCCGGCCGCCCCCTGGCCGCAGCCCCTGCCTCCTGCCAGCACCATGGAGTTCTCCGAGAGGAAAAGGAGCAGGAAATCCCAGAGCTTCAAACTGGTGAGCCGAGGTAAGCGGCGGGCCGCGCCGGGCCGGGCGGGGGGCGTGCGGGCGGCGGGGGGAGGACTTGGCGCCGCGTAAACATCCCCGCGCCCGGCCCGCCGCCCCTCGCCCCGCGCCGCGGCCGCGCGTCCCACGCCGGGGGTCCGGGCTTCCGGGACCCCCGAATCTCCTGCCGCGGGGGCCGCGGCCGCACACGCCGCGCGGCGGGGAAAGTTGTGCGGGGGGGAGGCAGGATGTTATTCAGCGTAAACAAGTCGGAGGGCACATCAGGAAATTAGCAAACAATGACACTTGGGGAGCCGAGAGCCTTCTTTGGTATTCCACTCCTGTGGCTAGGTTGGGGGTTGGGGGAGAACTGCCTCTCCGTCAGGCCGTGCACACACGGATCCCGACCAATGGTTGTGGGTTTGCTTTTTTTCCCCCCAAACAGTAGCAAAAAAGGTGGTGGTTCTTTTAAGAACCAGAGAGAAGCTCATTAGGTGTACGAGGCCAAATGAGAATTGTTGACCTCCGGCATCTTTTCTAGAGACGTTATTTGGGTTGGAAAGGTATTTTGGAATAGATCCCTTATCGGTCAGAAAAGTATCCCTATTTAAAAAAAAAAAAAAATTCCAGCCGGTTCCTGACGATTTAACAGGTGTACACCGCGGTTTTCTGGCTTGGGTCTATTTTATCAGGGGAGGGGAAAGTTGAATCGCCTTGCCTGTGTTCAGTTACTTGTCAGAGGCTTTATTTTCCTTACTGGACTTTGTCAGAGACGATGAGAACTTAAGAGCAGACATTAAAATATGTCTTAAAATGCATTGTGTCACCTTAAATGAGAGGCAGGTGACTTTTTTCGTCCTAATGTCACAAATCCTGATATTGAGTTTAGAATCACCTTGTTTAAATATCTTCTTTGAGTCAACTTGAGGTCAAAACCAAACCACAGAACCTGTCCCTTCTCTTCTGTTTTATCTAGCATTGGCATCAGAGAGCAAGGCGATTGTTTGAACAACGTGGGGAAGTCACATGTGAGGTGATGAAAATTAGAGGGGGATTCCAAGTAATAGAGCTTTTCAAACTAAGCTGAGCTAACTATGATGTAGATTCAATAAAGCCTGCTTTTGGCTAGCCTGAAAATGGTTTGATTATAGACATTTTGAAGATCTGTGCATATCTGTTTCCCCTGATTTAGTTTGGATGCTGTTTAATGAAAGAGGCCTGAAATAGTTTTCCATATTCAAAATATATGGCTCTTCCCTCTTTCTCTGTGTGGATTACTCAGTCATTTGTACTTTAAAAATCTTCCATATGTGACTGGCCTGTTGGTCTATTGATTCATTCAGGAATGTAGGCTGCTTTCTTATTTATGACCTCAGGGAACTTAACTACTTTATCTGAAAAGTGAGAGTAGTTTTGTAGACCTTGTCCTGTCAGGTCTCCTGCCACAAAAAAGGGAATGGCTGTTAAGAAGGAACCTCTATTTTCTTACCTAGACGATCCTACTTTTTAGAAATAGACCATTGGCAAGCCCAGCAGCCTCCGTAGAGAATAAGGAGGCTCATAAAGTACTGTATTTTTAAAAAGTTTGACTGACATAGCAAGTTTTTCATTTTCCTTTTCTTTAAATTATGGGTCTGATTATTCTCTCTGCTCTGCAGGTGCATTTTTCACAAATAAACTATCGTATATTAAAGTGCAGTGGCTGAATGCAAAAGATTGTGTGAAAGACAAGAATCTTGCTTTCTTATCTAGACTAGACTATATTTGAAATAACAAATCAGTATTTTTCGTGTGTGCTTTCCGGTAAGCTGCTTAGAGGCTGGGATTTTGCTGGGTAAACTGAGAAAACTGAGTGTTGGGTTGCCCTAAAGCATGCTATTGAGATACGGTACTCATGGAAATGAGTTGTGGAGATAATTTTGGAATCACCCCCTGGCCTATGATTGGGCAAGGTTTTTCTTTCCCTTATAAACATACTTGTCATTTGAAAGCAAAAAGGCCTAGTAATTGGCATCTCTGGGCCAAATTTACTGTGAAAACCATGTGATCAGCAAAGCTGTTTTCTAAAGTCAAAGTAATATTTCAAGTTTGTGTACTTCTTCAGAGTAAGCAAAGTTTTAGGGATTATTAGTGACTACAAATTCAGTGGTTAATCGAGTTATTGGAAATTATATTTATAATTTAAAGTATAGATTCTGCATCTTATATAATGAGAGTCTAGTTTTTATTGTTTATTCATAACTTGCAGGTCATTAGAATTTTAATTTTTGGTTGTTTTCTCATCCCAGATTATCACCATGAGGTATATAAGATCTCAGAATTCAGCAACGATGTTAATGGGGAGGCCAAAGAGACCCAACCCATTTATTTAGGTAGGTTCCTATGTCAATTAATTTCTCAGCAAAACAGTGTGGCCATTTGCAATTAGGGGGAAGGGGAAAAAAAAAAAAAAAGATTGTGCCAGAACGGGAAGTGTCTGCCATTGCTTAATGTATGACATTCTTTTCAAGACCTTTTGTTTTACAGATTGCCAATATATCCCTTATTAACATTGCTAAAAGTTGTAATTTCAGACATAAATGTTTATTAGTGTCTACACACAGTACTAATTATCACTCACTCCCAGAGCCAGCTGCTGACAGTGCAGGTTTGTCGCTCTGTGCTCACCCCATTTACATTGCATATTCGCTGGCATGCTTCACTAGCAATAGTCTGTGTAATTGGGGTATTACATCTTTGACATCTGGATAACAGAAATTCAATTTCCAGGAAGCTGCTATTTGTTTGGTTTTGCTTCTGCCTTGGGTGGGACAGAGGATTAATATGCTGTCTTATTACAATGTCCCTTCACCTCTGTGGCCTGGTTGCTAATCCTGCCATGACAAAATTAAATTAAATCTACAGTCAAAAAGCGTAAGGAAAATCAAAGTGTGATTGTCCGCCCAACCACCTCTTGAGAGTACTAGCTATCATTTTCCTGGCCTTGTGTGCATCTCCCCCCGATATCTGTGGGCAGAGAGACTAGCCATGCTTTGCTCTTACCCTCCCTCATTCCCAGATCACCTCAGGGACGGGCTGAGCAAAAGCAGCATCTGGGAGACCATCCGACAAGGGTAGCTGCATGATGAATAAGGAGGTAGTCAGAAGCATTGCCGGTCTCTCCAAGTGCAGCTTTTGGTACAAATGCCGTACGTGAGGGATCTTGCATGTGCAGTTTGTTATTTGTAGACCATGAACCCAAAATCAAACAACTTGCGATTTTGCCACTAAGACTGAAGTACCCATAAAGTAGGAGAAGTAGGAGTAGAGAGTAAACGGTGGCATGTGCCTTCCACCTTGCCCATCCTGCACACCTCCCCACCCCCAGTAGTAGGGTGAGAGCTGGGTGCTGCACGGCAAGGGAGCAGAAAGTGGGAGACAGGGCAGGAGGGATGAAAAGCAAGGGCCAGCTTTGCCAGCTGGGAGTATCGAGGGCTGAAGGAAGTAGGATTGCTGCTCAGACCCAGTGTGTGTAGTACTGCAAATCCCAACAACGTGAAAGCCAGATGGTGGAGTACTCTGTCACCAGGATCTCTCTTTTTGGCTTTGAGGGAGAGAAACGGTGGGTTGCGAAGGACTGAGAAATCAAAATGGATACTTGATAGAGGTGAAACAGGAGGGAAGGCTCAGCATTTCTCACATAAGCGACCACTGAAGGCACGTAGATCTTTGCATCCTAGCAGAGACTGTCACTGAGGCCGGCAACTATGCTCAGCACCTGTTTACGGTTAAGAGAACTAAAAACCAAAAACTGAATCATCAAGTGAAATGCTACAACCCAGAAAGAGAATATTCTTGGATTGTATTCTCTTCAGTTCCTTAAACTGAATCAATTGGAATTCTATAGTTTCAGTTCCCTAAACTTGATTGGTTGGAATTCTGTATCTAAGTACCCCTTGTCTTAGTCATTGGAAATGAGGAATTTGCCTATTAGTAGAAAATGTACATTTATCATAAAAATGGAACATCATGTCCTTGGTTGAGTTATTCTTCAACAAAGCAGGCTTTTTTCCCCCCGTTCTGCTGTGTATTTGGAAAACAGTAAGGATGCTATACAGTGAGGTAATTCTGGGTATGACAGAGTAGGGGGATGAAGAACAGGAAGATGCTGGTGCTCAGAATTCAGTAAAATGCAAACTCTTGAAGGGCACACACCGCTGCTTTCAGTTTTCCCAGCTCGAGTCCAGGAAGATAGAGAACATTAGCCCAAGACCAGGGTCAGGATAAGCTTTTCAAGTTGCTGGTTAAGACGGCCTCAGACATCGGGCGCCTGGGTGGCTCAACTGGTTGGGCAACTGCCTTCGGCTCAGGTCATGATCCTGGAGTCCGGGGATCGAGTCCCACATCGGGCTCCCTGCTCGGCGGGGAGTCTGCTTCTCCCTCTGACCCTCTTCCCTCTCGTGCTGTCTCTCATTCTCTCTCTCACAAATAAATAAAAAAAAAAAAAAAAAAAAAGACGGCCTCAGACATCAAGAGACCAAAGACTGAACAGTCTTGCCCATTCTGGGGGAAGTGGGATATGGTTCCCAGAGAACATTTGTGTTTTGTGATTTCCAGGTCAATTTTTTTAAAAACTGGAAGAGCAAATGATTACGCTAACATAATTTCTAGAGCAGTTGGGAATAGTTACTGAAAACATAGCAAATTAAAAATTTGGTTGTTGACGATGTTCTAAAAACAGGCATTTTTAGTTTATAGGTACTCTTCCCAAAACATAGATTTAAAGCATGTTTGTTTTATAAATTGCTAGAGTCTATCCATAATGTTACTTGCTAGGGTGTAGAATTCAGTGTGAGGTTTATGACATCCAAGGGAGTTTGTTAGCAAAACGCCAGAAGAACTGTTTCAACTATAATCTAAGTCCTAAAACATGGCCCCTAGGGTGTTGTATAAGATTTTCTGTGTTCAGACATATGTATTATTTTTAATATTATCTGCACCTATAAAATTAAAGTTCAGGTCTCGGGAAAAGAGAGTGAGTGCTCTGGGTTTTGGCAGAGTTCCCACATGAAATCTATTTCTCTGGAATATTTTTAGGCTGTTGACTAATGTAGCACATCCAACATGGTAGGATAGCCCAATAGTGTGAATGGCTTGGCTGAGTGCTTTGGGAGTTACTCACACATTTTTAAGGTGATAATAGGGCCAGAGGAGGTTACTTTGCCCTGTGGACATTGACATCGTCAGGCTGGCTGTGACGGGCTACCATAAAAATTTGAGCCCTGTTTGGAGAAAAACAAAAATTTGTTTTAATCAATTTAACAGATGTTTTCTGAGAAAAGACTATGCACTCAGCGCTTTTCTGGAATGGGAGTGGGGTTGGGGTAACCAAAGAAATGGAAAGGACAGAGACCTTGTTCTCAAAGATTAAGTCCAGTTGGGGAGATGGGACAAGTTCAGAACACAGTTAAGGAGCAACATTCAATAATCATAACAGCTCCAGTCGTTGGGCACTCTCTGCGTGCATGGTGTTGACTTGAGTACCTCACATGAATTATCTCATTTACCTCTTGGGGCAAATCTGTAAGTCATTATCATCCCCATTTTGTACATGAGACTTGGATGTTTGGTAGCCTGCCAGGGCCTCTCAAGTAGCAAGTGCCATAGCTGGGATCCCAGTGCACATCGCCTGTGCTGGAAACACCCCACTGCTTGCCCCTCTGTGTGAACGATAATTAACTGACAAATAGGAACCACTAGGGCAATGAGCAAAAGCAGCGTTGGAAGGGAAGGATCAAATGTAGGGTCAAGTGGAAAGCTCTGGAAAGGCTAGACCTCGAACTTGGGGATGCTTTGGATAGGCAGAGGGGAGCTGGACAAGATCCAGGTGGGAAGGGTGCCAGAAGCTACAGCAGAGAGGGAAGCGTCCTTAGAATCAGACGTTAAGTGAGGGTCGCCCATTTAAAAACTGCTTCCACGCCTGTCATCCTGTGGTTTTTACTGTATTCCTGTAAGGTCACTGGGGCAGATGTTCTTATTCCCATTACCTAGAGGACGGAACTGAGGCTCAGAGTAAAGCAACTTGCTCATTAATAGTGGAACCTGGAGTAGACCCACGGCTCCTGTCCAGAAATCTTTCCCCTCTACCATGTCAGACCAGACAGTTCAAGGATCATCAGGAGACCTTACCTGGTATAGCAAGGCACTTTTGGAAAATATTATAGTGAGATGGTGAGTTTATTACTTGTAACAATAACACAAACATTTGTTAAAATCTCTTTTGAGACATTGGATTTTGTTTTAGATTTACTGTCATAATATATAAATTTGGAACATGTCTGATTTTCAAGTGTTCAGTCTCACTCATTTATTCACTCGACAAATATTTGTTGAGCTCCAATTATATGCCAGGCTCTGGCCCTGTTCTAGTTCCTTTTGATCCTCAGTTTTGTTACACAGCTTTCAGAAGACAAAGCACAGTGTACTGTAGCCATGCCAGTTGAGCAGGGTCGAGATGTCTGAATTTTGAAATCTTTTTCAGTGGCTTTGCTGCTGCCAGCTGCCCCCACCACGGTCCCCAGAGTCTCCTCAAAGATGACACACTCAGATAATCCCTACCCACTTTTCCAGGCTAGGGAGTCAGCCTCTCACGGCAATGTAAGTCTCCTTCCCGGAGAAGTGGGCAGGTGCATGTGTTAAATGAGGGTGCTCTTTACCTAGAGTCAGGCGGCCTGGGTCCTGCCTGCTTCCTGTTTCCTCCCAAGAGGGAAGGGGCCCCAGTGTGTCACCTCACCTGTGGCTGGAGTTCCATGAGTGAGAAGCACCCTCAAATAACATGAAGGTCCAAGTGGGCCTGAGTGTTTCTTGGGGTTAGAAACATGGCCAATAATGGTAGGTGTCATTTTGGGAGAGCTGGCTGTGTGCCAGGCACTGTGGTAAGAACTTTGCATGTTATCCCAGGTGACACATCCCACCTCTGCCTCCCCACCTCTGCGGGCGTCTTGCAGCTTTTAGGGTGTCCTCGTCACCATGGAAAAACCTCTGGTCTGAATGGTTTCTCAGGTTTCCTACAGCACTAAAAGTAGGCCTGCTCATCCTCTAGGTCCACAGATGGCTTCCAAAACAATTGCAAGCAAAGTGAAGGTTGAGAGAGACTCTTGAACACTGATGGCTTCCTTGAATAGAAGCGCACGTGTAAATATGCTTCTGTAGCCGTAGATGCAGACTTAAGACGCTCTTAGATATCACTCACTGCCTAAAGTTCGGGAGGTGTTTGCAGTTAGGCCGGTCGCGTACTTGGATTAATCATTTAGCTAATATATCTCAACTACACCGTGAGGCGGCTGTTATATCTGTTATGGAGACAGGAAGCTGAGCTAGGAGGTGAAAGTGA